AACAGTTCGCAAATAAATAACCTTCCCATACAAAAACAAAAAGGCAAAGAATGTTTAATAATTAATAAAACTGTCATAAATACACCTCAAAATAAAAGGAAAAAAAATTTCTAGCAAATTTTCCCTATGGAATACAATAGGCAAACCAGAGCAAAATTTCACCTGTAGTGGTATTGCTCTATAGAAGAATGAACAGAAACATTTGTTCAGGTGCAACTCCCCCCGCCTTCCCCCTTCCAAAATTATTTTGGAAGAATCCGAATTACAAGGAGTCCTTCCAGAAATCATAAGTAGATCAGTGAACACTCAAGAAGCCGGTACTGTAGCTAATGCAATGTGCTCAGGGTGGGCATGCAATGTCATGTTCAGTGGCACCCAGAAGATTATCATTATGTACAGGCTTGGGCTGGCTCACCAGGGGACCCTTTGGCTAGCACCTGCTCCCTACAAATTACAAAGTCTAGCCTGCCCATCTGCACCCACAGCTCACCCATCTACATGGGTTTTAGAGAGTCCCACCTTAGGTCAGAGTTCTGGACCTTCTTCCAGGAAAAGCATAGGCCCACTTGCAGCTGTAAATGACATTACGTGGAAAAGGGGACATGTGTTCCTGCTATCCTCAGGTGTGAATGGGGCCCTTTAGTTTATGAAGCCAGAGATGGACAGCAATTCCCAGAAGAGATTATCACGGAAAGCCTCCATATTTCTGCCTGTAAAATTTTCCTTTTAAAAAGGGACAATGAATGGAGAAGTAGAACACAGATCAGCTCACTGCTTTCTTCCCCATCAGCATGTTACTTCTTAACATAGAAACACAGAAGCAAAATCAATTGGCTGCTTGTGCTGCTTCTCCTTCCCCCAGTCTGAGCTCTGTTGTACAGGGATGACACTAGTTTGTATGTATTATTAAATATGTAATTTTGTATGTATTACAATAATGTACGTATTATTGAATATAGAGCTGTGTCTTTTATATCTGCTTGCAGTTCAGCTTTAACCTTCCGGCGACCACATGCAGTCAGGAAAGCAATGACATGTCTTCTCACCTTAACCTGCTCCACGATCTGCTTCCATCCTACACACCGGCAGCTGACACACTGCAGGGCCTCCGCCCACGCTGCATCCATCCTGCTGCCATAATCTGTACATGGATCAGCAGGGAGGCAAGGGTTAATATACATCATTTTATAACCTTTCCTTGTGCTTAGGCCAATGTATTTTGGGCAGGGAGCCAGGCCTCCAGATTTATTGGGAATAGGGAGGGCATATTTAATTACATATGATTTATAACGTGCGGATGAAGTAGAGGTTTGTCATAGTCGGATGCCGCTCAGGGACTGCAGGACTATATTTCCCGAAGACAGATGCACAGGTGGATGTATCTGCCATGTACAATGTGAATCATCAGCAGGACAGCTGGAAGTCCTCTGCGCTGGGACTAGAGGACGTTGCGAGGTGTACCGCCCCGACACAGCGCGCAGAACAAGGAATACGGAACAGTCACACACTTGATTATATCAGCTATCAAAAAAAAGAAAAAAGGCTCTTGCTTAAACTAGAACAAAAAACTATCCAAGTCAAAATTAACGGTTTTTAATCCTTATACCGTTAGCATTAGTAGATAGGCAGCAAGGTATATTATATTTACTTGTTTTAAACTTTTTTTTTTCTTTTTACATTGCTTCCTGGTTTCTGGCCTAGGCCAAATTGATGTGAAAAAAAAAATAAATAAATCACAGGAGTCTTTATGAGGGGGGAGGACAGAGGCTTTCTCAGCCAAGCACACACTCCTGCCTGCATACTTGATCTAAGGGCAGATGGATTCCAGGAAGTAAATACTACCTGAATCATCTGCCCTTACTCAAGATGGCAGCAGCTAGGAATGGGAGGAGGGAGATCAAAATAAAGCATGGAGGTGTTCTCTCTGAATATTAAAATTAATTGCTAATTTAAAATTGCTTTAAAAAAGTCCTGGATTATTACTTGGATACACAAAATATAATCGGATACTAACGTTTATAAGTAATGTTGATCCAGGGAATATCCGATTGCCTCTCAGGGAAACAGGAAGCAATTGTTTCCCCTGCAGGAGCAAACTGGATCATGCTTTGCTGGATTTTTTTTGCCTTCCTCTGGATCAACTGTGGGTGTAGGATTATAACTTTTTTTTTTTAATGGTTGAACTGGATGGACTTTTGTCTTTTTTCAGCCAGACTAACTATATAAATATGTAAATAGGGTTTTCAGTTTGCAGTGCTTCAATAAGAGTTTAGTTCCACTTTATCAAAGGGGAAGGTGATAACATGTAATAACCAAATGTCAGTATGAAGACTTCTCCAAAATCAAAGGGTACATGGGGATGGAACGTTGTATTTTTTGGTTGATATCAGTTTGCTGATGTGCAGTAAAAAGGAGTACAAATTATCCTGACTTATCTTTATTTCATACTTCTCCATGTAATGCAGACATTTTTTTCAGGCATTATTGTAAGAAGCCCATTCACTTTGAGTCTTTAAAGAGTAATTCCAAACACAGCATATTTTTGCATAGTTACACTGGTCCAGCTTGGCCCAACCTAACTATGTACAACCCCTGGCAAAAAGTATGGAATCACCACTCTTGGGAAAATGTTCATTCAGTTGTAGAATTGTGTAGAATAAAAAAAAAACTAAACTAAAACACAGACATGCCTCAACTATCTGCATCAGGGGTGGACTGACAACTCATGGGGCCCCCGGGCAATAGGGGATCATGGGTCCCGTGTCCTTGCCCAAACTCATAAAAGCCTATGAAAAAAAAGGTACCAGGGGCATGTCATGGGGCCCCCTACTGACCCCGGGCCCCCGGGCAGTGCCCGAGTTTCCAAATGGTCAGTCCGCCCCTGATCTATATTTAACATTCCAACCTTCTGGCTTTAAGAAACACTTAAAAAAATTAAAAAGAAAGAAAACTATAGTCAACTGCAACTGTTTTTGCAAATCAAGCAGAGGAAAAAAATATGGAATCACTCAATTCTGGAGGAAAATATTATGGAATCATGAAAACCACTACAGTACACCACTAGTACTTTGTTGCCCCAACAGCTTGAATTCTCTGAGGCATGGATTTACCTATCGACAAACAGTATTCTTCATCAATCCGGTTACAGCTTTCTCTTATTGCAGTTGCCAGATCAGCTTTGCAGGTTTGAGCCTTGTCATGGACCATTTTCTTTCATTTCCACCATAGATATTCAATTGGATTGAGGTCCAGACTATTTGCAGGCCATGCCATTGACATTATATGCATTTATTAAAGGAAAGCTTTCACAGCTTTTGCACTATAGCAAGATGCATTATCATCCTGAATAATGATGTCATCGTCACCAAACATCCTTTCAATTGATGGAATAAGAAAAGTGTTCAAAATCTCAATATAAAACTTGTGCATTTATTGAAGATTCATGACGGTCATCTCCCCCATACCTTTACCTGACAAGCAAACCCATATCATCAATGATTGTGCAAATTTGTGTTTCTTCAGGCAGTCGCCTTTATACATTTCATTGGAACGGCACCAAACAAAGTTCCAGCATCATCACCCTGTCCAATGCAGACTTGCGATTCATCACCGAATATCACTTTCATCCAGTCATCCATAGTCCACGATTGCTTTTCTTTAGCCCACTGTAACCTTGTTTTTTTTTTTTCTTTTTAGGTGTTAATGATGGTTTTCGTTGTATGTACAAGTAAATCCCATTCCCTTTATTATTATGATACAGGATTTATATAGCACCGACAGTTTGCTCAGCGCTTTACATTATGGTGGGAGACAGTACACAAGATAGTACAGTAACAATACAATTCAATACAAGAGGGGTTCGAGGGCCCTGCTCCTTGGAGCTTACAATCTAGGAGGGGAGGGATAGTGATACAAGAGGTAATGACTGTGGGGGATGGAGTGGTTGGAAGAGTAGAGGATTTCAGTATTAGCTGAGGGCAGGGTAGGCTTCCCTGAAGAGAGAGGTTTTTAGAGTGTGCCTAAAAGTGAGCAGAGTAGGCGACAGTCTGATGGATTGGGGTAGGGAGTTCCAGAGGATGGGGGATGTCTTTAGGCAATGTCTTTGGGTTCATGCACACTGCAGCTGATAAAAATCACATTCAGGAGCTTTTCTGCGTTTTATTTCAGCACCCCTGGAACTCTCCCTAATGTTTTCCTATGTGTCCAAGTACACTATGTCGTTTACAGTCGTTTTTTTTGAACGCACCAAACTTGCGTTCAGGAGTAGATTTTATCAGTGTTTCAAACGCGTGTAAATGCGGCTAACCGTGTTTATAAGCGTTTGCGTTTAGAAATGTTTTTTTAACTGTTCCATATCCAAATGCTGTCCAGAGCCTTTTGTCATCATCAGAAATGCATGCAAAGCGTTTTCCATGTATTCAAATGGACCCGGTACACCAGCGCAGTCAGTTCCAGGTTTTGCGTGAAGGGAAAAAAATGGTAGAACGCACCGCATTATGCTCATGATGGGATCCATAGTGAATACAACCAGAAAAAATAGGTCATCTCAACACATACTGCTCTCTCTGCTTCTGCTCTCTCTATTCCTCTCAAAATGTCTGAAATAGTTAAATTTTTACTGTTTTTCAGTGCATTCTGGAAGGTCTCCTGATGTTATCTTTAAAAAACGCTTCTAAACACAAACGCTCATAAACGCGGTATGCAAACGCGGCTAAACAGACTTGTTTTCCATCAGAGTCATTTTCCATCATTCAGAAGTGTTTTCCAAACGTCCCGAGTACATGGAGCCTTACAGTTCGGTCACAGACATTGACTCCAGTTTCTGCCCATTTGTTCCTCATTTGTTTTGTTGTGCATTTTCTGGTTTCAAGGCATATTGCCGCTTTGATGTCTTCCTTGGTCTACCAGTACGCTTCCCTTTTACAACCTTCCCATTTTATTTGTACTTGGTCCAGATTTTAGACACAGCTGACTGGGAACAACCAACATATTTTGCAACATTCCCTGACAGGGGCGGACTGACCATTTGGAAACTCGGGCACTGCCCGAGGGCCCGGGGTCAGTAGGGGGCCCCACGAGATGCCCCAGGTACCTTTTTCATAGGGTTTTTTTGAGTTTGGGCAAGGACACAGGGGCCCCATGATCCCCTATTGCCCGGGGGCCCCATGAGTTGTCAGTCCACCCCTGTTCCCTGATGATTTACCTTCTTGAAGAAAGTTTTTATAATCCTCTCCTTTGTTTCAACTGACATCTCTCATGTTGGAGCCATGATTCATGTCAATCAGCTTGGTGCAACAACTCACCAAGGTGTGCAAGCACTCTTTTTTTAACTGCAGACTAATTAGCAGATGTAATCTGATGCAGATGTTGTTTTCGGGCTGCAAAGCATATGGTGATTCCATATTATGTTCCTCAGAATTGAGGGATTTCATATTTTTTTCCCTCTGCTTCATCTGCAAAAACTGTTGCAATTGGACTATAGTTTAATTTTTTTATTTTTGTAAGTGTTTCTTAAAGCCAGAAGGTTGGAATGTTAAATGAAAATAGTTTTGAGGCATGTCTGCGATTGTTTTTTTTTCCACACAATTAAACAACTGAATGAACATTTTCCAACAGTGGTGATTCCATACTTTTTGCCAGGGGTTGTATATACCTTACCTACCCTGGAAGCTGGAAATCATTGAAATATAAAACCGTTACTCCAGTGATCTCCACTTGCTTCTGGGTCCTGTGCTAAGCGGCTGGCCCAATGCATTCTGAACACCGCAGGTTGGCCCTCAGCACAGGCACCATTCAGTGAATGCTTTGTATTTTCTGAATTAATTCAAAGCATTCCCTGATTGGACGAGGTATGGCAATTGTGGCCTTGCAGCAGATACCATGTCCTCCCCTCACATAGGGTCGTTAGAGTGGAGTGTTGCTTCGATGAGGTTGGTGCTTGTGGAGAAAAGCATATATATACTTTGTATAGTTGCAAATACCTACCTTCTATTTATACTCTCCTAAACAAGTATATGGTCATGAAACATGTAGAGTTGTTAGTGTTTGTGAAGCAAACCCTATATACTTTGTATATTTACAAATACCAACTTTCTATGTATACTTTCTTGAATAAGTAAATGGTGTTCATGAAACACGTAGTTGCTATATATCCAGGAAAGATTTGCAACATATGCAGATCTGGGTTATAGATATATGAGAAAGAACAGCTGTGAAGTGTAATCTACGAAGGTTAAAATGTCCAGTCCCTAAAAACGGGTGGAACAAGCAACATGTTCCAAAGGTGAACTTAACCTTTACCAAATACCAGACACTGGAAACAGCACATGAACTCTTCTATCGCAGAAATAATCAATTTGATCACTCACATCTGACTTTTGAAAAAAATGTTAGCCTACAGCAACAATAAAAAATGTTTGGTTTGATAAAATTTGGAAAACCTGGACCACTTAGTATAGGAAAAATAAGCTACATAAACATACTGTATTTTCTCAGACATAATATACCTACATATGTCCATTTTTGACACCGTGTAAACCTCTGCCTTTACATGTTTGTCTTTTTCTGTAATCCTCAGTAAGTCACTTCATTTGTTATTTTGAAGATCCTTCTTATAGGTATGTTTGTTAGCCCCTTCGCGTCGGTGCCTCCTGGCCCTTTAAGGGTTTCAGAAGCCGGGAGGCGGGGCGGGGTTTAGGATCATGTGACCGCCGTGAAACACCGTGACGGCAGTCACATGATCGGGAAAGGTCCCGATCAAAGGAGGAGATGGGGACATTTCCGTAGGTACCGGACATATGTGTTGGGAGCACGCAGGCCGTGCGCTCTCAGCACATATGTTCTTTTTTAATGGAACACAAATGTGCAGCCGCTCGGTGTCTAGGCACAGATGCTAGGAGGCCGCACATTTGCATTCCGCCAGCGTGAAGAGATTAAGTATGCATCATGACACGCTCGATTCTCTAATCAACAATACTTTCATTCTTGATGTTTGTAATTATTGAAGATTTATATACCAGATGTATACTGAAACTTTCTTATTGTTGTTCATATGCTATTCTTTTGAAGTTACTCTGCTACGTGACTACTTTGTACTGTTTATATTTTGTAAAATATCCAATAAAAATTTAATGTAAAAAAAAAAACAAATTTCTGATAACCCGGGCTGTGATACTGACAATTAATCTTTTTTCAAATAACAAAATATCTATCTGGCTCCTGATCTGGAGTACTGTTCATGATACCTTCCATGAACGGCTTCTCAACTGCTCAACCACTTCTCTTTTTTTTTTACTTAGTCATGACTTACTTAGTCATGTCGCCAGCTATTCAACCAGTCCTTACCTGCTTCTCAACTTCTCCTCAACTGTTGCAAGCATACACTCCATTTAGTACTGTCCATGGTACATTCCATGAACTGTTCCTCAAATGCTCCACAACCACTCCTCTTCTTTTTTCCCATGGACAGTTGTGTTGTTTCAAGAACACTAATATGGCTGCATTCATCTTAGTCTGGATTCACACTTGAATGTGAGCAATTTCAGGTGATTTTAAAAGTTATCTTTCGGACTTTTTTTAATGCATTTTTCGGGCATTTTTTTAGGCTTTTAGCCAACAGAAAGCTAGTTACTAGAAGAAAAGGAGACAATTGTAATGTGCGAAAAATGCACGTTATGCAAGTACTACTGACAATAATGTCCTTTCCTGATTCACTCTATTCTGTATGAAAGAACATTCTACCTAGAGTGAAAATCGCCCGATAACGTTCCATTTTGGTAGAAAGAATATTTCACCTGGGACTCTCAATAAGGCAGGTTGAGGGGCTCCAGGGTACTTGTTTAATACAGAGGAAGCTGGCTTTTCCCTTTCCTCATTTGTTTGTAAAGTTCGTTTTGGGACCCGGAGCCTGGCGATTTCAAAGTGATTTGGGAGGGATGAAATCTCCCATTCTCGGACCAGGTATTGGGAATGGCCAGGAGACTGATTGGTCAGGGGTATGTGTGGGCCTCTTCTTAAGTCAGGACCAGGGTTCTGGGCTCCACCCTCCCGAGTAGTTCATGTGGGTGCAAGGGAGCAGCCACAAGGGTGCATATGGGCACATTATAGTCTGACAGGGCCCAAGCATGTGGGCTGGGGAAACAGAAGTGCTGGGAAAGGGCATGAACCCAGGTGCAGTGTGTTGCATGTGAATGGTCAAGAAGAGTGAGGCATGAAGCCTGAGCAGCGGTGCTTCTAAAGAGAGCCAGGAGGCTGAATCTTTGTTTTCGTTGGCATTGATGGTGGATACCCCTGCGTAGGAAACCTATGTTGTACAGAACTTTCTTTTAAATAAAATTGGGCAAAAATGGCCTTTAAAAAGAAGGGAGTGACTGTGTACTTCAAATGCTTTATCCTTGGTGCTAGTTCCCACAATTATATATATATATATATATATATATATATATATATATATATATATAAAAATAAATAAATAAAATAAATAAAAAACACACACACACACACAGTTGTGTTCAAAATAATAGCAGTGTGTTGAAAAAAGTGAATGAAGCTCAACATCCTTCTAATAGCTTTTATTTCCATCCACACAAATGCATTGGGAACACGACACATTCTATTCCAAATCAAAACATGAAGAAAAATATATCAAATGTTTGTTGTTCCTCTAACAAAATTGAAGAAAAGTGAATATTAGACGGTTCAAAAAAATAGCAGTGTTTGTATTCTTCTTTACAAACTCAAACATTCACTATATAAACTGAAAAATGTTTGAAGATTTTGCTTTCCTTTGAATCACTTAATGAATATTTGGTTGTAGTCGCACTGTTTCTGAGAACTGCTGTACATCTGTGTTGCATGGAGTCACCCAACTTCTGGCCCCTGTGATCAGGTATTCCAGCCCAGGATGATTGGACTACATTCCACAGTTCTTCTCTATTTCTTGGCTTTGCCTCAGAAACTGCATTTTTGATGTCACCCCACAAGTTTTCTATTGGATTAAGATCCGGGGATTGGGCTGGCCACTCCATAACGTCAATCTTGTTGGTCTGGAACCAAGATGTTGCACGTTTACTGGTGTGTTTGGGGTCGTTGTCTTGTTGGAACACCCATTTCAAGGGCATTTCCTCTTCAGCATAAGGCAGCATGACCTCTTCAAGTATTCTGATGTATTCAAACTGATCCATGATCCCTGGTATGCGATGAATAGGCCCAACACCGTAGTATGAGAAACATCCCCATATCATGATGCTTGCACCACCATGCTTCACTGTCTTCACAGTGTACTGTGGCTTGAATTCAGTGTTTGGGGGTCGTCTGACAAACTGTCTCCGCCCACTAGACCCAAAAAGAACAATCTTACTTTCATCAGTCCACAAAATGTTGTGGCATTTCTCTTTAGGTCAGTCAATGTGCTCTTTGGCAAATTGTAACCTCTTCAGCTCATGTCTTTTTTCCAACAGTGGGACTTTGCGGGGGCTTCTTGCAGATAGCTTGGCTTCACATAGGCGTCTTCTAATTGTAACGTCTTTCAGGTTTTGGTTGCCATTTAAAAGCATTTGCGATCATTTTAGCTGAGCAGCCAATACTTTTCAGCACTTCTTTATATGTTTTCCCCTCTCCAATCAACTTTTTAATCAAGGCACGCTGTTCTTCTGAACAATGTCTGTAACAACCCATTTTCCTCAGAATTTCAGAGAGAAATGCACTGTAACCAGCATGTACAACATTTGCTGCCTTCCTTCCTTAAATAAGGGCAATAATTGCCACCTGTTTTTCAAAGAATGAATGACCTCACTAATAGAACTCCACACTGCTATTATTTTGAACATGCGCCTTTCAATTAGTGATTCAATTACACAGAATCAGCAGCATGCATGTCATGACTGTTGGGTCTGTTGGATTTCTATTACTCTACTACACCTGCTAGTAAATTATTTGCCATGTAGAAATATCATTTCTACCAAAAACAGTGATTGATCAGGTTAGTGATGTCTGACTGCTATTATTTTGAACACAACTGTGTGTGTGTGTGTGTGTGTATATATATATATATATATATATATATATATATATATATATACACACATATACCCCTAGGTGTACTGGAACAACAATGTTCCTCGATTGTGGTGTTTTAGTAAAAAAATCTGCCACCATATGCATTCATTTTTTAACGAACCCATGAAACAAACGATTTACATAAAC